CCACCAGTGTGGCACACAAGAACCAGCAGTGACCTTGGTCACTACATGAGCAAGTATAAGCAAGAGCCTTTATTCATACCAATCCCAGGGAGTAACTATAAACATCAGGTGTTATTACTGCTAGTAGCAGACACTGTCTGCAAAAACATGCTGCTAACTTCAGAAAGTGCAGCGTTCAAGAAGAGACTAAACTGAGAATTAAAAATCACTGAACAGAACTTGTTCTGTTTAGCTCAAACCAGGACACACTCCCTGGATAGAGCTACCTCACTTCAAATACTAGTGTACTTTCAACTGTTTTGAGGTTTAAGACTGTACTTTACACACTCACTGTAAGTGATGAGAGCACATATGCAGAGCGCTTATTTTTCATATCAGTTTTGCCTTTTAATAGCCTCTAGATATAAGGGTAGGCAGAAGAATGGAGATAGATGCTGACAGGATGCATGACCAGCTCCCTAGACACCTGATTATCAAGAATGTCTCTCCACGCTACTTACAAACCTTTCCTCATTAACTAAGTCAGCCTGATGCTTCCTATAAGCAGAGATAGTTTTGCATTTTCTGCCAGCAGCTGTTTACTTGTGAGAACTCTTGAACAAAGAAAACACATATAATTGAAGGACTAGAGGGCTATAAACTGGCTCACATTTGATTACCTGCTATACTTTCCTCCATTTCCCTTGCTAATTCTACGATTTGCATCTCAGCATCCAAGTACATGTCTATTATAGGGAGAAAACAAGCCAGACTCTTCCTAATTAACCAGTAGTTCTATAAACCTTCAGAGGCTAGTATTATTTTAGTACTTTAGTGTCATGTGTTTGAGTCTGAGTTTTTGGGAAAGCGGAGGTAGAGATGCGTGGGAAGTTTCAAGAGCCTCGCCCACCCCAAGGCAGGAGCTGGACCTGCCTTTCGCCAGGGCCAGGCCAATCAGCCCCTCTGCAATCAAGGTACTTAAAAGGTGACCTCATTGTTCTCTTTCTCTTTTTGATTTAAGAGGTGCCCCATTGGTCTCCTTCTCTTTTTGCTTTTGTCTCATTTTTGAGCTGTCTTGTCTTTAATGTTGGGGAGTTTTTTCTGCTGGAGGAGGGGAAGGTGAAAGCAAAGGAACCTCATCCTGAAAAGAGAGAGGCAGAGAAGAGAGAAAGCTGCTGGAGCAGCACCTTCTCCTGAAGCCAGTGGTGGCGGAGATGGAGGGAAGGTGACTGCCTGCCAGCTGAAGGGACTGACGGCAGAAAGGACATCCAGGATGTGTCAGTGCATGCAGAGCCCCATGCAAGAGGGGAGAGAGACTGAGCATCAGCAGGGGACATGCCCAAAGAGATGCATGGCCCTGATGGACTCCTGAGGAGGAGGAGGATTGCTTCCTGTGAGGTGGACACCATGCAGCATGAACGAGAGACTGCAAGGAGCCCCCTTTCTCAAGCAGGAGCTGCCATGGACCATGAGTAATTGCCAGATGGACTGCACACCCCACCCCCTCGCACTGCTTGGTGGGAGGAGATAGCTGGGAAGATGGTGTGGGGGGAAGAATTGTGTTTAAGATCAGATCATATTTATTGATGTATTCCTCTCACTATCCTACTTTGTAAATGTTAAATAAATTAAATCTAGGTTTTTCTCCCCAAGTTGTTCTGGTTCTTTACTCGTCACCTTAAATGGTAGATTATTACCCTCTGTATCCTTGACCTCAAACCCTTGAATTGTTTTAGTTCAATTTTCAACCTTCGCATCACTTGTCGAAATGGAGGTCGGGAGAAAAAATGAGCTGGAGACCACATGTTTTTTTTTTGTTTCCTGGCCTGGGCAGTCGGCTTGAACCACAACATAAGAGTAATACAGATTAAGCCAAGAATAGAAGAGTCCAGCCCATGCAAAACTAGAAGCACACCATTGGCCAACGTGTTTTGTACCACCTGATAGTTTAAAACGTTTGATGACAGGATGTCTCAGAGTTGCCTGCAAACTTTAACAGGGAAGATTGCCATAGAGTTATGCTAGGAGGCAGCACTGTGTCATGTGTTATGCTCGACACTACTCATACCACCATGAATCCACATTAGCCTAAGAAATACTTATATATGGGAATCTGGTTTTCTGGAAAGCTGTACAAACCAACGACGACAGCTCAAGCTTATGACAAGCATTTCCCCTAGTGAAATAAGCATCATCTTGCATGCCTGCCTTATGCATGCCATTATCTAATTAATTGCTGTAAGTGTTGAGTCACTCTAAATGAGAACTGGTAACTCCTAAGGAGAATCAGTTAACAGGAATCCAACTACATCAGCAGTACCACTGCATCACCTTCGTTCTTCTGATGACTAACTACCAACATCCATCATTCTCTTCTTCACTAATGTATTCAGTAAGGACCCACAAGTGTCAGTTAAATTCCTTAAACCCCATCAGTCAACCTAGGTAGATCACTTAAACTGCATCTCAATATCCTGCCGGCATGTAGTATTATTTCCTCTCTTTTGAAGTTTAAAAACAAAACCTCATTACTCTTTGTGAAAGAAGAGGTACAAATCTTTCAAAATCTATTAGAAACTCTAAAGAATGTTCCTATTATCCAACTGCCCTGAAGATTTTCTCAGAAATATCTTTGATGATGTCTGATTTCTTTTGAAAAATATCCTACCGTAATTCCAAATATGCCTTAACTTCAGTCAAAATTAAACAAAATAGTTCTTATACCTGTTAGAGGTGTCCACAGTAAAATGCAAACTCCTTTTCCTGTAACAGCAAATGTGCCCAAACATCAAGCAAGCAATTTTACAAGCTGACTCACAGCCACCATCATAAATGGTTTTAGTTACAGCAATCATTTCTAGCAGTATGTATTTTAACTGCAGTTATGAACAAAGACAGAACATTTGCCAGAATCAAAAGCAGAGAAGTTGGACTAAAACCAGCCAGGTGCCGCAGCAGCTGTGCTCACTCACAGCAAAGTTACATTAACTGTAGTTATCGATTGCCTACCAAAACTCTGGACAGAGCATTAGCAGTGTGACACAAAGATGCCAGCTGCTGAGGACTTTGCCCATTTGTGTTTTGATGCCACACCTCATGTGCATCACACTGCTCTTTGCCAGTAATGACACGTTGTGTCACCACTTTGAGAGCCCTTCCCTTTATTTTCTCATTATACAGCTGCTGCCAGTTCCACGACACATTTTCCTATTGTTTCAGGATTTCCTCTCACCTTTGGGGAAAGAGATAGGCCATTACTTAATTTTTCCAAGTGGAAAAACATTCCCATAAGTGTATCCCTTTCAAAAGCCAAGTTCACTTGTGATGACTTGATTTCCCCTTCAGAGAGACTCTTTCTAAAGCTAGATCTAGATTACTTATTAACATCCATCTACCACCCAGCCCAGTCATCTGCAGCATGTGGTAGGATATTCCTTGTTCACTCACTCTTTACTGATATTAACTGGCATGACAACACGCAACGTCACATTAAATCAGATGTCACTGCTGTCCTGCTGGGAGGACTTATCTGTCAATGCAACATAACTTTCAGAATGAGTTCCGGTCCCTTCTTGGTGCTTTGTAGCTTCCCTGACTCTTCCAGGACAAATTATTGCCCTTCTACAAATTTTAAACTGCATAATTTCTTGGTGTATATTAGTTACTTCAAAGAATCAGTATGCTTAATCACAAAACTAGTGGCTTAGCTTACAAACAACGTGTTTATAGAGTGGGTGGAAAAAAGAGAGGGATCATCAGTCCTAGTCCTTTATGACTGCAAACAACTACATAATAAGCCAATCCAGTACACAGACGTCGTCTCAGTGAAAAGCCACAAAAGTCACCGTGCCTCACAGGAACAGAGAAGACCAGTAGAATGCTTTTCAGTAGTTTACTGCTAGTAGTTATCAAAAATACCTAACAAAAGTCTATGTATGCAAAAGATCTATATGGGACAAAAAAATTAATCTTAAGGAATCAAATTCTTCAGCTGCAAATAGATGGCATGGAAAACAAACAAAACCTAACATCTCCTCCCTGCCCCCTCCCCAGGGTCTAGTATAGTATGTTGCCACAGGGCAGAGTATATTGTCATAGGTCAAATTATTTAATTACTAGGAAGTACTTCTTCAGCTTTATTTATAGAGATAGCAGACAATACAGAAGAACTCAAACCAGCCTGAATCTCACAAAAGATAGCTACTGCAAATCCATTTAAGTTCTTTGTAGAGCTTAATTCACATTGAAACAACACCCTGGAAAGAACTGAAAATCAGGAAGACAATAATTATACAGGCATAATTACACTGCACAAGTGTTTTCATATCAGAACAAACTACATTAGATCTGCAGTCAAAAGAAAAGAAAGTGTGAGACCTGCTATGAGGAATTAAAAAGTCCTCATTTTTTTTCTTTTCAAAACACTGGTAGTAACAAGGTCATAAATTTGTAATACATACTTATATATGATAAATAAGCATTAACTGCTGATGAACTGTACTGATGATGACATTTAGGCCCTCTTTTTTGCACAGAAAAGAAACAATAGGCATAAGGGTAATAACTACTTCATATTTTGACCCTCTTCAGAAACTCCTTGACACGAGTTGCAAATTCTTCCTTCAGTAAATTATGACAGCTGGTTTAGCTCTTCATTTTTATGTCAAAACTCTGAATCTATGCTAGACTTCCATGTAGCTTTCCAAGTTGAAATACAACAACTGCCTAATATTGACTTTAGAACAGTTACACAAAGATGTTGTATTCCAGAGAAACAGGTAGTTTTTAGTTGTATGCAAGAAATAGCTATGCTTAAAGATTCAACTTCTGTATCTTTTTCACAAGAAATTCTGTTCTTAATATAAAAACCCATTTATTTACACAAAACCCCAAAGTGTCATAATACAGTGCCAACATTTACATACAATGACCTTAGATGTCAGATCAACCTCTCGGAGCATTTTAATGAAAACAGTTTACCACTTTTGATTGTATATAATCTATTAAATAAACTCAACCTTTTACATCTCTGTCCTTTCAATATTCATACTTTTAAATTGTTCTTCAAGCAAATCAGAATCTTCATTACTGTCTGTACAACTGAAGTTCAGCTCATCCTCCAATCCACTGCTTTCTTGGCCATTTTCAGCAGTCATACTCTCAGTTCCCTCCTGTCCTTTATCAATCCTGCAGAAACCAATAGAATATTATCAGCATAACTCTGGGAATTTATTTTTCTTTTAAAGTAGAATAGGATGGAGGGTAGAAGATTCTTATGGCGAAGGATGGGGGTAGGAGGTGGGGAGGAAGAGATGCACAATAACCTGAAGTTACTTTCACCTTGAATAGAAAAGACAGTAAAGGGAAAATAGTCTGTGAAGAAAAAAAAATAAATATATGAACATTTTGACTAATTAAGCAACTGCTTGTCAGTAACTAGTAAATTAACACAAGATGCTCTCTAAAGAGACAACTCAATAAAAGAATACAAAACCCAGAAACCTGCTAAATACATTGCAGTAATTCTGCTCAGTATCAACCTCATTTACTTTTTCTGTTCACTAGTAACTGAATCATCAAATGACAGACAAATGCAAACACTAAATTGGCTTATGCATATTTTATGGTACACTATACCAAAATTAATTTTTCAGTGTTTTGTTCTTAAGGAAGATACGCATTTTACCCTTTGGTAATAATAAATAAAGTGTCTTATCTAAGTAAGATTTCTTTTGGCCCAGCCTCACCAATATCAGTAGGCATTTCAACCCTACTTTCAGTAGAAGAAAACGAGGGTAATGACTGCTGATTCTCATCAAGACTATTCAGAATATGGCATAAAGTACAACAGCTTCTTGGCAGTTTCCAAACCAGCTTTATTAAAAGAGGAAGAAATGGTGCAATACTGAAACTTACATAATCTACAAATTACTTACGGAATTACTATTTCTTCTTCTTTTCCACATTTAGCACAAATGTCTAATTTACCAGCACATGGTCGACAAATAATATGGTAAGGATCTTTTACAGTCTTCTGAAGGCATTTCACACTGTGAAGAGAAAGAAAACATGATTCAAAAAATATCTGTAGACACTTAATAAACTTTTTGTGTTCAAACACAATATAGACATGTTCTTCAAAAGAGAAACAACATATTATAGGCCAGTTTCATATGAAAAACATGGTGCTTTAAGAAGCAGCACCATCAAAATTATTGCATGTCTTCCCTCTCCTTTAACTCTTTCAGGGAAGAATTATTAAAACAAGAACTGAAGAAGAAATAGAACATACAAAGCCAGTATTGGACTTCATTTTTTTATGAATGCAAGCCTGCACAGAACTGTATTCTGAACAAATCCAACCTAATTACACAGAAGTTTTTTACTATCCTTTTTCCAGATATGATAAAATTCTATAGATTACATAATTTCTAAAATGCTATGGTTTAACACTGAATTGACATTTCTCAAGTCTTGTATTTCTGGAAAATAGAACCTGGAAGTTTATATCCCATGTAATGCAGCATGTAATTCATTATTTTCCACATAGTCACATTTTTAATGTTTATAGTGTCTTTATTTTGCCTAAAAGCTTCACCCATTGAAAATCCTCATACTCTTGTCCTTTTAGGTCAGTGGCCTACTCAGCCATTGTACTACATGCAGGCATGACTAGAAACCACCACCTGCAGAGCTACAATGGTCTGCAGCCCAATTCCCTTTTTCAAAAATATGACGGAAAACACCATGTATTCTGCTATAAGCAGGTGTCCCTCAATGCCCTTCTCTGATTTACATGCTTTTTTGGCCTGCTCTTTTTCCTTTGAGGGTAGGCAGAGAAGAAGCAAAAAAACCCAACCCACCACATGATCTCATGTGATGCTGAGCAAGTGTTCATGAGTTTTTGATGTGACACAAGATTAAAGCCCTCCTCTCCTCATTTCTCTATTAGACTTTGTGAACTACAAAAAGTATCAGATGTGCAAGATTCCTCTAGTATTAACTTGTAACAAGGCCTTAAAAATCGTTACAACTGGTGCAGGTTTGGCTTTTTGTTCAGGACACACAGAGTTTGGGAAACTTAGAGGTCCACAGTTCAAGAATTTTAAAAGTGAAGAGGGAAGCAGTTGCTTTTCCACTGTGTTTTCTTTTCAAAATTTCAAGACAAAAGACTGCTGAATTAGGAAATTAACATTGCACATATGCTGTCATTGCTGACTCCAAATTTTAAGAAAGTCATACAGCAGCAGCTACTACTTGTGATTTTCCAAAACTAGAATATTTTCCAGTAAAATTACAGCATCAGTGATTAACACAAAGTACCTTAACTCACCATTTTTTAGGCTTTGACAGTAGTTTGTACTTGCTGAATTTTACTCGCCACTCCAAGATACCTTTGCAATGCTGACATACTCCATCATGAAGCTTAGCATTTATTTTCTGAATAAAAGAATAAAAATTAGAATAAGAATACATTGAATATTTTCTAGTTTTATGATTATAATCTTGCTTACAAAGTATTTCCACCCTTCACATAATTAACAAAGTATTTAGAAATATGTTTGTTCAACATTAATATAAACATTTAATATACATTTACTGCTAGTAATGTTCTTCAGTTGAAGGAGTATTGAGGTAGTCTTTATTATTATTATCATCATCATTTTGATACTGTACATAGTGCTACCTATTTATGTTTTTAGCCTGTTGATAACAGATTATTATAGATTTTCTCATATCACAATGAAGTAGAATCCACACATTATTTGCAGTTAAATCACTCCATACCTCTTTCATCATAAACCTCCTTTATGGAAAAAAGCAATACATTTTTTCTCTGAAGTGTTCAAGACAAAATCCTCAAAATGGCCATTTAAACTATGGCATACTTTCAAGACAATGGAAAGTTTACCTTAAGATCTTTTGCAAAATTTTGTGTTTAGTTTGCTCAGGAATAGAAAATATCAAATAGCCACCATTATTTGCACAAGACAAGTTATTCTGAGACACAACTAGTTCCAAACAACAGTGTTACCTTAAGTAACAAGCAATATATACTTGTACATTCAACATACTTTTATTTCTTCTCTAAAAATGCCAATAGTAACTTCATCTATCATACTGTTGTACATATTCATTCACAATTTTAAAAACAAAACTTCACAATTAAAAAAAATGCATATGGCCAAAAAAATCAGTTATACCTTTTTAAAGACAACTTAAAAATTGCCACTATTAAAATGGTCAAAATGGTATCTCTTTCTCAGAATTCCCAAAAGTTCATTAGAACAGATTCTGCATTACTTGGAATTAGAGATTATGGTATTCTTTTTTAGAAATAAACTGCATAGTTATTCTATGCATATAGTAGCTTCTGGGTAATTTCCTGGGTTTATGAATGTCATGTCCAGAGCTTTCAGGATAATGACTCAGGTTCACCGATTCCCAGGCCAGGATTGAGGTGAGTCACACCAAAGATCCAAACATCAGTTTTATTTATCAATCAGCAAAGAGCTAACAATGATGTATTTCAATCGTCCACAGCATCAAGCTATTAGCAAGCGAAAGAAACCGGCCTTGCCATAGATAGCCTTTTGTTAAGACCAGAAGAGAAAGAACGCGATAGAAAAAGAAAGATCACCACCCTTGGATCCAGCGACGACCACCACGGCACTCCCAGCCATCTTCTAGTGGTGGGCGAAGGGATTTACGCCTTTTATATAGTCAAGTTCCCGTTACATACCGCGAACGAGGCTGGGGAATGGTGGAGGCTACTAAGGAGGGGTTACCTCGCCCTCTTCCGGCTTCCTGCAGCCACAGCCCCAAGCATCATGTGCCCCCAGGCACATCCTGGGCAGGGGACTGAGTCACGCCTGCACCAACATGACAAGTGGCAGGCAGGTGGCTGCGGCCTGTTTGGGTTCCAGGCTGCTTGAGACATTCATTTAGCAGTTCCTCACAATGACCCACAAGAATTTCTTACTACTCCACAAAGTTCTACTTCCATACACTAAACAAAGGAACAAGCCTAGCTTTAAAAATACAGTATCTTATTCTATTCTAAAAAAACATACCGGGCACAGGAAATGCTATTTACAAGTAAAACCATAGTATGGGACTTGGTTTTACTAAACTTGAACCATTCCGTTTAAGTTTTTCCATGATACAGTTGACTGAAGGTGTTGTGCTTTTTGGCTGGTTTGGTTAAAAGACAAAAAACTTTTTTTTCATATGATGGAATATAGACTAGGCAAGATAGATGGATGGACAGAAGGATAGAAGGAAGGCAGCCAGGCAAGAAGGGAGGGAGGGAGGAGGTTTTCCAGAATGACTGAACAGTGAATACAGAAATTTGTGGTTCTTATGTCAGCCATGCATTATGAATTAAATTTTTCAAGAAACATAAACATTTGGCTAATGTGGAAACTTTCTGAAAGAAGAAAAACATCCGTAAGTTCTCAGCAGATATCTGTTAAAAAGGGATGGCAATTCAAACTGCTGTCAGCACTGACTGTGTTCATTCTTCCAAAATTGATGCAATTTGAAGAAACGTCCTCTTTTCTGTTCTTGACTAGCATAAAATAAGGCTCCAAGTATTATAGCCTGAACAAGCTTCTAATAACCTGCAAATCAGCATGAACTTCCCAAGTTCTCCCTCGCCCTCTCCTGATTTGCATTAATTAGTAATGCAAGGGAGGAGAAAGACACAAACACTGTAATTTGTATTTTACTGTGATCAACTATTTTTGCTATTGCTAAGGCAGAACCTAATAAACGTCAAAAGACTACAGTAGTTTAAGCCGAAGATATCTGGTTGTTTTTCCAAAGGCAGTAAGCTTCCTTTCTGAAAACCATCTTGTTTCCAATAATATGTCCTGACATCATGTCTGGGGGCTGGGAGCCCTGTTACTAAATGATGCTGGGACAGGCTCAGCAACGGGTAAATGCACTTGGAATGGAAGAGGCCATGCTCAGGACTGCACGTGGCATAAACAGGGCAGCAGAACAAAATTGGAATTACTTTCTCCTCTCAACTGAAGGAAATCCAAAGTTTGTAAAACAGGTGGCCTATTACAAATTCTGTTAAATGTTTGCTGTGGAACAAGTGAATATGCATAATTATCGTTAATGGAGCTTTATAAAGCTCTTCCCCCTCCCAACATGCTTATTATCTGGCTCCAGAATACACAGCAATCATACAGTGATGAAATTCTTTATTATTTTTGGTTTTTATCAGACAAACTAAAATGCAGGCCATCCCAAATTCCAAAGATACCTTTTCATGTTACTCACAGTACAAATATCTGCATAAAAATACCACCTCACAGCAAGGCCAAGAGGCTAGTCATTTCCTTTAACCAAAGAAAGTATATCACTTTCAAAAGCAATGCAGACTTGAGGAGGCAAAGAAATCTTTCCTTAATTAAAGATTTGGAGGTTTTTTCAGATTTCAGAAATCACAAAAGAATATGTGAGAGGAAGCTCTCCTAACAAACTAGATGAGAAACTTTCCTGCTATCTCAGTTCCCAGACAGAACGAGAAGATTATTAGTTAAATCAAAGAAATCCCTCCATTGCTCACTTTTTGTACTAACTTTTAAATACATTTTGTCCATTGTTTAAACTTTCATATATTCGTATTTTCTTCCTTTTGTCCATTTAATAGCTTGCTTTCCTTTAAGGGTACAAAAAAACAACCCAGCCAAAGGCCTGAGCAAGGTCTGTCAACTTTATTACTCAGTTCCAACTTCTCTACCCAGGTAGTTAGCTCTTACACTCAAAGGGGTTGTAGTGCTTATGATTTCTTAGTGTGAGGACTACTCTGATAGCCTTGATTCCATTTCTGCCCCAGCAGTTTCTCTGTTTTTGCTTACGATTTCTTAGTGTGAGGACTACTCTGATAGCCTTGATTCCATTTCTGCCCCAGCAGTTTCTCTATTTTTAACACTCATTTCCTTGTTTTAGCAATAGCTGTTTCCTCTCTTACCACACCTCCCCCAAGGACAAGTGCAACTCATCCAGTGCTTACAGTATATATATATATTTTCAAAGAAATTACAGTTACGCAATACAGACATACATAAACTATATGTAGTCGCAAAATATTCCATGTGTATATAATATACATACCATCAGGTCAACTGCATTAACAAAATAGCATGCTCTGTATGCCAACATAACCAAACATTAAATCATTTAACAACCTGCCAAAAGCAGTTTAGAATGTATTAAAAGACATGCACCTACACCTACTAACTTGACACACAAAATAATTCCTAGTTTAAGCTAGCATTAAAGCTCTCACAAGTAGGATGTAATAATGGGGTTTCAAAGAAGTCTCACTGCTTGGACATTTCTAATTATGTGTTAGTCTATGGGTATTTTAATTTACTCTACTGAAAGCAGACTCCAGCTACTGAGCACACATCAGTGTTCTATGCTGCTGTAAATGAATGTAATGTCAACATCATCCATAAACTACCTTGTCAGAAGCACAGGTGATACTGCTTTAATCAACAAAGTCGAATGCAGCATTTGTCAATAACTACACTTCTCAGAAGAAGAAAACTCAACAGGATCTCCAGAGCATGATTACATTGCAGGTAGAATACATCAGTGCATAGTAACAAAGAGAAATGTGATACAAGAGACCAGTTTTTCACAGTTCTCATACACATTTCACAGGCTGAAATCAAGTCCTTCAGAGAGCTTCACTTGCTTATATATTGTTTTACTCTGACTTTAAATTCCATTTTCTACACAGATATTTTCTCATTTCTTTAGAAAGAGAAGTATATTTAATATTTTAACCAACAACTCAAATTCTCCCTTATATCCATACTGGTTAAGTATGCATGGCTAAGTAGCTAGTATTTTAGGCTCTTTGGTGTTTTATTGCTATGGACTTTAAAACACATGAAATCTTTCTCTACGCCCAAATCCTAAAGGCCATCTTGGAGATCAAGATGCTTGGCTTTTTTCAGATCAGTGACTATGGATCTGAAAACATGCATAAAACCAGTAAGAGAATGTACGCACTTGGAAGGACCAACAGTCAACTCCTGTCCTTTTCCCCCGATGCATACGCTCTCCCTCCCTCCCCACTCCTCCCTGCCTTTGTGCTCCATCTTCCAACTAGGTTAGAATTCAAAATAAATGTTATGCTTGCTCCTCTTCTCCCTACATGAAAGACTATAACCCAGGTGTGAATGCACTTCTGAACCCAGAATAACAGGGGAGGCAAGAGAGTAGACTTTAGCCTACCAAGCAGCAAGAACAGAAACTAACCAACTTTAGTACTGTTATTTGACTATTTCAGTCAGCCACCAGCTTATCTAAACTCCCTCTGTGAGTTTCAAGTCACAATCACTGACTCAGCAGTAAGTTCTGTTCCTACTGCCTTCCTACTGTCTTGACCAGTGTCTCCACTAAAACAAGTT